CAAAAATGAATTGCAGGGCGCCTGGCTGGCTCAGTGGGTTGAGGCATCTGCCTTCGGCTCGGGTCATGATCCCAGGGTCCCTGCATTGGGCTCTGCTCAGCGGGGAGCCTGTTCCCCGCCCCCACCTCTGCCTGCCTCTCTGCCTACTTGTGATCTCTGTCTGTCAAATAAAAAAAAAAAAAAAATCTTAAAAAAAAAAAAGAATTGCATTTTCACATATTAGTGGTAAACAGTAAGAATTTGAAATAAAAATGAATAACATTGGGGCGCCTGGGTGCCTCAGTGGGTTAAAGCCTCTGCCTTCGGCGCAGGTCATGGTCCTAGGATCCTGGGATCGATCCCACATCAGGCTCTCTGCTCAGTGGGGAGCGTGCTTCCTCCTCTCTCTCTGCCTACTTGTGATCTCTGTCTGTCAAATAAATAAAATTTTTAAAAACATGAGTAACATTTACAGTAACATTAAAAAAAAAATACCCAGGGATCGATATATCAAAACATGAGCAAGAAGGTAAACACAAAACAACAAAGCATTACTGAAAGAATTTAAAGATCTAAACAAAAAGAGATGTACATCATATTCATGAATTGGAAAATTATATTATTTTATTTTTTTAAGATTTTATTTATTTATTTGACAGACAGAGATCACAAGTTGGCAGAGAGAGGAAGGGAAGCAGGCTCCCCACTGAGCAGAGAGCCCAATGTGGGGTTTGATCCCAGGATCCTAGGACCATGACCTGCGCCGAAGGCAGAGGCTTTAACCCACTGAGCCACACAGGCATCCTGGAAAATTATATTATTATTAACGATGACTGTTCTTGAATTTAAACTGTGAATAAGCATTTTAACATTTTTCACCCTAGTGGGCTGTCTTTACACATTCTTCTACTGTGCTTTAGGTCTGAGGCTATAAAAAGTGTAAGAGAACAGTTGTTGATTAATGTTGTAAGTACAGAGTTTCTGTTTAGGATGATGAAAACCTTCTGGAAATACATAGTGCTGCTGGTTACATAACACTGTCAATGTCCTTAATGGGACTAAACTATAAACTTAATGGCTAAAATGGTGAAATTTTATATTGTCTATTTTAACACACACACACACAAACAGGAAAGCATAGAAACAAAGATCCATTGTGAGTACTGGGTGAGCAAAGGTGTTAAATGGAAAAGGAATAAAGGTGTTGAATGGGTGAACAAGTGACCACGGTATGCAAGAGGCACTCAAAATAAAGATATCAGCAGAGATAAAGGAACTGGGTTATAAGGAATAAGATTCACCACTAAATTGTGCAGTGGAAGACAGACATTTATTTAACTCAAGCTAACTGTATTAGTAGGTGGGTATGGGACTGGGGCCAAAAGCAGATTGAAAATAAAACAAGAAAGAACAGGATGGGCAGGAGATGAGATAAACCTTGGCCAGATGCCTGAAGTATCTGTGGAACATGCAGGTGGTGATATTTAGTTGGAGACTAGATCTGCTTTTGATAGAGTTTTAGGTTTAAAATTATGTCATCATTAGAATAGTGGTTGACTGTGATAGAAACAAGAGGCTGTAAAGAGAAGAGAACCGATAAAGAATCTGGAGAACACGAGTATTTAAGAGGTCCAGACAAACAGAGGAATTTTCACTCTTTTTTTAAGATTTTATTTATTTATTTATTTAGAGAGCATGTGCATGTAAGTGGAGGGGCAGGAGGGTGAGCACAAAGGGAGAGGGGGAGAGAGAGAATCCCAAGCTGACTGGGACAAGGAGCTCAATTCCATAACCCCAAAACCATGATCTGAGCCAAAACCAAAAGTGAGACCTTAACCAAATGAGCTACCCAAGTGCCCCTCAAGATGAATTTTCTGAAAGAACCGAGACAGTAACATCTTTGAAACCAAGAACAGACTATTTCAAGAATTATACTTGTAATTCAATATGGTGATCTAAACATATACATTTATTTCTCCTGCATCCAAATGTAAAATTATAAGAAATTTAAACATAGCAACACCATTAGCATAATGGGGGAGTGTTACTAGCAGGCCAGGTTTTCAGGAATTGTTAGCAGTTATAAGCAAAACTGAGGGATCAAACAGGAGAAAAGCAAGATTCTCAGTTTTGTACAATTTGCCCAGCACCACTCGATTCTCAAAGCCTCAAAACAAGACTCCTTGCCACTTGCTAATAGTAATCTATCAATTCTATCTCAATCTCCACTGTTTTTATCTAAGTAAGATAAGTTCATGCAGTAATATGCTCTCATTTGAGGAAATGGATTTTTGTCCCAGCTCTGCTTCTGGGAGAAGACTGAGAAAGATGTTCAAGGATATACCTGCTTGATGTGTGAACACTGATTAAAATTAGAAGGAGCATTTATGGAAGGAAAAGGCTTATCTGGCCAATACAGGAAGTAATGGGGACCGCTTCTCTGTAGAAGATAGGCAGGAGGATTTAGTGCAAAAAGGCAAATGCTCAAATACCCATTAAAAAAAAAAAAAAAAGACGATTTTGGAAAGGAGAGAGAAACCATCACCTCACCTGAGCCATGGTTTTGAGATCTGCAAGATGTGACCAGTCTTCCTTTGGGTTCCTCTTTGGAAAAGAGGCAGTTCCTATGAAGGCAAAGCCAAGATGAAAAGAAGCCACATGACACTATACATGCCTTACAGCTCTCATATGCCTTAGGACTCAAATGAATTTGCCTCCATTTCCCTTGCTTTGGCCCTTGACCGCTGTGCACATTCCACAAAATTAATGGGGGGAGAATGAGATAGATCTTATTTTATACCCAAATCCAGAGATACAGGCCTTTGGGCAACAGATTAGATTTCAGGCAAGTTCCCCTCCTTTTTAGCATCATTTTTTCTCTCTTAGCAGCCTACCTCCAAGCTGCTTTCTGTAAGCCTCTACCATTTATACTATCACCAGCAATACATGAGAATACCTGTCACTCCACACCCTGACAAATGCTGATACAAACTTGTTGATGCTTGCCTATCTATCTAATAGATGGAAATTGTGGTTCTGGGTTTTATTTTTATTATGACAGAAAATAAGCTTTTCATAAGAATAAAACCTTAATTTCTCATGTGAATGGTCTCTTATAATTCTTTCATTTCTCATACTTTTATTTTCTAGATTGGTTATTAAATCTTTTTAAGATGAAGGAAATATTGTGTTTTTTAAAAATATTTTTATTTATTTATTTGATAGAGCACAAGGAAGGGGAGCAGTAGGGGCGCCTGGGTGGCTCCGTGGGTTAAAGCCTCTGCCTTGGGCTCAGGTCATGATCCCAGGGTCCTGGGATCAAGCCCGCATCGGGCTCTCTGCTCAGCGGGGAGCCTGCTTCCACCTCTCTCTCTCTCTGCCTGCCTCTCTGCCTACTTGTGATCTCTGCCTGTCAAATAAATAAATAAAAATCTTAAAAAAAAAAAAAAAAAAAAAAGGGAGGGGGAACACCAGGCAGAGAGAAGGGGAGAAGTAGGCTCCCTGAGGGAGCTCGATGTGTGGCTCAATCCCAGGACACTGGGATCATGATGTGAGCTGAAGGCAGATGCTTAACCAACTGAACAACCCAGGCGTCCCAGAAATACTGCATTCACTTAAAGTACTTTTTTATAGTTTCTCAATTGACTTTGTGTTTTTTCCTATGCAAAAATAACTTATAACAGATTATTGACCATCTGGTTTAGTGCTGTCAGGTGTTCAATAACATATTTCCTCCCTTCATCAAAACTGCCATCAAATACTTTATTGCCTTTATATATTTGAGTAGATCTGCATTTTATATTTAATTTCACTGACCTGTTCACTTAATTATCTGGATGACTCTGCAGTTACTACATTTTTCTTTTTTTTTTTTTTTTAAGATTTATTTATTTGACAGACAGAGATCACAGGTAGGCAGAGAGGCAGGCAGAGAGAGGAAGGGAAGCAGGCTCCCTGCTGAGCAGAGAGCCTGATGCGGGGCTCCATCCCAGGACCCTGGGATCATGACCTGAGCTGAAGACAGAGGCTTTAACCCACTGAGCCACCCAGGCGCCCCCAGTTACTACATTTTTAAAACATATTTTAGTATCAGGTTAGGGCTATTTCTCCCTTTATCATTTTCTTTCAGAATTTTTGGCTTTTCATATTCTCCCAAGAATTTTATTTATTTTTTAAAAGATTTTATTTATTTATTTGTCAGAGAGCAAGAGCACAAGCAGGCAGAAGCAGAAAGAGAAGCAGCCTCCCTGTTGAGCAAGAAGCCCGATGTGGGACTTGATCCCAGGACCCTGGGATCATGACCCGAGCCAAAGGCAGCCACTTAACTGCCTGAGCCACCCAGGCATCCCTTTCGTAAGAATTTTAGAAAGTGCAAAAATTTTACTGACATTTTAATGGAACTGCATGATGTTAAGGGAGTTTTAACACTTTATCACTTTGAGTCTTCCTATTCTTTTATTCAAGTCTGACTTTCGGGGTCCCTTCGGAACATTCTTTTTTCACAGATTACAAAATCCTTTGTATCTCATATTTTTGACGGCCACTGATCATTTTCCATAGTTTTCTGATACATACATATACATATATATATAAGCACACATATAAAGCCTATTGATTTGTCAGTACTTTTTCCAACAAACCTCCGAGTTTTCTAATTGTTGGTCATTGTTTTTAATAGCATGGTAATTAGGAATTTTTCTCTCAGTTTCAGCAAATGTACCAAAGATGGTGAGCAAAAGAAGCTTCTAAGTGTCCCTCATTCTAGAATAAAATCTTGTAAAAAACGTAAGGTTTTGCTACAGTTAATTTAACCCCGACTTCAAGAGGCTGGAGAGGCTAAAAGAAGGAAATGTCTAGGAGAGTAAAAATTATTTTTAGGGCATAGTTTTCCAGGGGAAGAAAACAAGAGGCTCCTCAGAGGCTGATGCCACTGGAAACCAAAGTGGTGAGAGAATTTGGGGGGAAATGTACTTATTTCCAGGATCTGAGAGGGCAAAGTGACTGAGAGAGTTAATTCTCACCTGAGCTCTAGATGGGCAACCCATGGATGGAGACTGCCTGGGTTGGCTTGGATCCTCTTGTCCAAGAGGACTCACCGGAGAGACAAGACCCACCAGAGCAGGTGGACTACTGCATGCCCAGAGGAAACACTGAGGAGACAGCTGGAGAAGTGGCTGTACCCATGAGAAGGGAAGTGTATCTGAAGTTCCCAGCAGTGGGTTCTCTCAGAAGGTTAAGAGCTGACTTACACTAAATTATAATGGTACCAATCATGTTAGCCTCTTCTTGTCCCTGACTTCTGACTTGTTTCCTGTTTTCCAGCTCCCAATCCATTCCAGCTAGAGACTACCCACCTAGAGGGGTAAAGAAGAGACAAAATAGAGGTTGAGGAATTAAAGAAGAAACTAACTGATCATGTACTCTTTTCCCTGGCAGGCTTCCAGCAGGAGGGAGAGTTTTTACTTTTAAAACAAGTTCAAGTATTGATTTCTATAGTGAACATCTTATTTAACTAAATAGCTATCAAAAGATAAGACTAATCTTACATTTTAATGTTCAACAGATTCAGTCTTCAGAATGACTGAAATTACTGAATCTGTCTAGGAATGCATCCAGCAGTAGGGGAATAAAGAGATTGATCCAAATAGAAACTTTGAGTGGCAATTATGGGAGAAATTTTTTATGTGTGTACTCCCAAATGGTATACTCATTTGAACATACAAGTTATTAGTCAGTATGCGGTTTCCCAGTATACAATCCTACCATCTGAAAATTATTTTTATTTTTTTTCTCCATTAAAAAAATCTCTATTTCAATTGTCTAATTGCCACAGGGTAAAATTTTACAAGCGTATAAAAAGGCCAATATTCAGATAATCTACACATATTTAACTGGTCATGCATTCAGTTTCTCAAGCGCTCCATCTCAGTCACACAATAGACAATATTCATGAATTGCCGCGGACTGTGCACACAAAACTTTAAAAATTAGACAAAGACACAATTATATCACCCACGAACAATCACGATCCCATAGACACACGTCATGCATAATCTCACAGAGCCCATAACAGACTTCTACACAAAGTAACGAAATTTTACTCACATACCCCTTACTGTCGTGTCTCCAAAGTCGCATGCAGTCTCAAACACAAATCGACTTGTAACCTATTTGAAAAATTAGACACACACCGAGACCTTATCACTTTCACAACTGGGTCCACAACGTCACACGGAGTAACACATGCTCAAATCACACAAGGAAAGCCACAAAAAACTACACGAACTAAACGCCCTTGTGTGCCAGGCCGCACTGAGAGACTTGGGGTTTACTCATGGGGGAAAAAACCAAAATTCCTGCGCTCCCCAACCTCACACCAGCCCCGGGCTTCTAGTTTCCTCTTCGGCGCTGTCCATCCTGGACTACCGGTTGCCTTTAGGGCGCTCCCCGGCCCAGGCTCCCTACTCCCTCCCTCCTCCGTGTTCCTCGGCCTTGGATTCTGGTTCCTTCTGCTTAGTTCTCGCTTCCCTCCTCGCTCTATGCAGGGTCCAGACTCTCGCTTTCCTCCCCGGCCTTCTTGGCCCAGGTTCCCTCTTCCTTCCTCGCTTTTCCCAGCCCAGGTTCCCGCCTCCCTCCTCGGCATCCCCCCCGGGTCCCGCCATCACCCGCCTTCTCCGCCTCGGTTAGACCCACCAGCCTCACCTTCGACCACTGGTCAGCTGTCTGCGCTTGCGTACTCCCGCGCGGACTGTACCTCCCAAGTGTCTCCGCGGCTCGGTCTTTGAGGCGAAGCCCCTGTGCGCGCGCCTGCGCGCCTTCTCGACATACGGGCTTTTCCGACCTTGAACTACATTTCCCACAGCCCCTTTGCAGCTTTTGAAAAGAACTTCGATCCAGGGTCTTCTTTGATTATCGCCCGACTACCTGAAAGTCATCGCGCTCCGAGTGGCAACCGTCGCTCACGGTGAGGAAGCCCATCGCCCCCACAGTGCTGACGGGGTGTGTGGAGCCCGGGTCTCAAGCCTCTGTACGCGCGTTTGTGGCCGTGACGAAGCCGAGTGCGAGTATGTGCGGTGATGTGGCCGTGACAGGTGTAGACATGCGTGTGTGTCCCTAATCGGGTGCAGGACATTGTGGGTGACCAGTCGACTGTGATGTGAGGCATGTGACACTGGGGGGTTTGAGACCGACCATCATAAGTTGTTTCCTAGTGTGACGGGAGAGGCTTTTAATTCTCTGACCGGTACGAGTTTGGTTGTGTAATGACAGAGCTTCATGTCTTCAGTTCTGGGTTTAAAAACGGGACTGAGAGGTCTGTTAAAGACTTCTCAGAGAGTGTATCTATGCTTGTGAAGACTGCAATGCCTGTTTGACTAGAGTCGCGCTGCACCGAAGCATGGCCTGAGCTGCCTTGTCAGGGCACCACCACCTCCAGTGCCTAGCTTCGCGGTTAACACAGTGGGGTTATCAGTGAAGATGATGTTGCCCATCTAGGGGGTCAGTTTTAGGTTCTATCCTTTCTTAGGGGTGTATGCCTGCGTTCCCTTTTTTCCTCCTGCTTTAGAGCCATGCACCCCAGCTGCAGAGAAAAGGTCACCAAAAGGGAGTCAGATATTTGACTGGTAGTATAAATGTTACATACAAGCAAAAAAGCACAAACCTGTTTTTGGAATGAATTTTAGAATTCGAAGAGTCCCTTAGGCAAAGTCCTAGGAAGACATCTGGAGAACCTAGGAGTAAGATTCCTTCCTCAGAGGATCACCCTTGGGAGTTGAGGTCAAGGTCCATGTTTCAGAACCACATCTTCCCAAAGCTCTCTCCCCAGGAAACTTGATGTGAACTTAGAGAAAGTTTCAGCCCTGGATGTCAGTGACCCTGGCTTTTTCCTTGATACTAAAAAGGATTAGCAGTACTCCCCATGTCCCTTTTACTTCTGTGTGTGATAGATGGCAAGAGACTGTGTGGTTTGAAGAATACCTTCCAATTTCCCTAGTCTGTGCTCCAAGGTCTGGTGTTTGATGATTTTGTCCCCTTCCCCTTCAGTGCTCTTCTCTAAGTGAAGAGTCCTGAAAAAAAGAAAACATTGCTAGGCACATCTGAAACCAACCTCAAGGTTGGGGGTTCAAGGGTTGGCCCTTGTTCTCTTTGTTTTGTTTTTCAGAAAAGGGAGTAATTGTTCTTCTCCTGAAACGGTTAGGTTACTGTTAGGCAGGACCCTGTGATATACTTTGACTAACAGCAGGTGGTGGAAGTGACGTTTTAAGACTTTCAAGACAAAGCCTTAGGAAGTCTTGCAGTTTTTGCTCTTTTCCTCCTCCTGCCCTCAGACCACTTCAAACAGAAGGTTATGACTAGCTTGATTAAAGACAAAAGATCACCTGGAGACAGAAGCCCAGGTTGACATTCAGCAACAATTGCTAGATATTTCACTGAGACCATATTAGACCATCCAGCCCCCACCAAGCCACTGGCTGCTATCAAGATGAGTGGAATTAGTAGAGCTGCTCAGCCAAGCCAAGCCCAGTTTGCCAACCCCAGAATAATGAGCTAATGAATGCTTTTTGTTTTAAGACACAAACTTTGGGGATGGTTACATAGCAATAGATAACTGAAACAGATGTTTAACTTTTTAAAAATCTATCACTCCATATTGATATAATTGTATTGGTCAACCTGTTTTGTAAAGTGATTTCTCTACTGGTATTATATCTTGAAAATTTTCTATATCCTTAGTTACTTTCTACAACTTTGCATTTGTTTATCGTGGTATAATTTTACATGGATTTTATAATTTGTTTAACTACTACCTTTGCTGAGCAACTCCTTCTTACTGTCCAGCTCCCATGTCTTCACCAACTTTACATTCCCTTCCAGAACCTTAACATTAACAGGACATGGGTTCCTATCATTTCATGGGTCTATTGACTTAGGAATGGGGTATTGACTTCTGCTGAGTGGAATATAGATAACTCAATCCACTCAGAGTAATTTGTTCAAGGGTGTGATATAGGATCTATATACATTTGTTTAACTAATTAACTGGTCTCCATGATTACAAAATCTCTTTTCCCCTTTCCAATTCAAAATCTGCATTCTGGAGCCATTTTACTTCCTTCACTGTGACTTGTTAGGGTACTTAGCTAATTTTCTGAAGGACTGATTTAAGATTCCTGGAGGTAGAAATGGGCATCTCTGCTGTGTTTTCTAAAGTGTCTTCATCCCAGTCCTTCAGATTACTTCCTCTTCTGCCTGCTCATCAAAGGAATGGTCTGAATTTCTGCAGCCACATCAGGCCTAAGTCGCATTTCTTCTCCTACGTGCAGGGCTTAGTATTAATCAATTTCCAAGGCAGGTGTGATTTCCTTACTGGAGCAATGGCTGGTGGAGAGATTGGAAATTTGAGATCTGAGCTGAGGTAATTGAGAGGCAAGCAGCAAGAGGAATCCATTGTGTATTAAAATCCTAGATTTCGTATTATACCTTGGCTAACTGAATTTAAATAAAAAAAAATCTTAGGTTTCAAAATTTAAGATTACCTTTAAGTAGCAGAATCTGAAAGGCTTCATAACTATGAAGAAAGTTCAGACCACTTAAAGCCAGAATTCATCCCACTACAGAATTCTACTTTGTGTTCCATACACATATCTCCTTCTATTATTTCTTCTGCTTTCAAAGAGGGAGGGATTAGCTCTATTATTTTTTCTGGCTGTAAAGTTAGTACATTCTTAATTCAGAAATTTAGAAAATACAGAAAAGCTTAAAGCTTATTTAGAAACAGCTTCTTTGAACATTTTATTCCAAGTCATTTCATCTGTTTCTCTCTGAATTAACACATGGATATAGGCATATAGGATTTATTATTTTAAAAAAGAATCACACCACAATACTGTTTTATAATCTACCTTCAGCTAGCAAAATATAGTGAACAGCTTTAACATGTCATCAAATCACAAACTGTTAAAATATTTTGCCTACATTGTCTGGATATATGATCTAGACATTTCCCTATTGAAGGATATTTAACTTCTTGCTAGCCTTTCCCCATATAGCATTTCATTGCACACTCCTTTTTGTGAACATGTGTATCTTAAAGTCTTAAACATTGTTGAGAATGAGGCTTTCAAAGTTAAAATCGACTTATATACCTTCATCAAATGCCCTGCTTAAATTTTCACCAACATACCATGAAGAGTGTCTATTCTACTAATATAGGATATTATCAGTCCTTTAAATCTACCTTTAGTGGAAATTGTGTTTGTTTAATTACGTATGCTGAGGTTTCATTTAATGTAATAAAATCTGGGCGTCTGGGATAAAAACCAGAATTCAATGAACTGATTTTGTAGTTAGAGAAATGTGGATTCAAAACATAGACCCACCATTTACTGAGCGTGTATAATATCTTTTCCTTCATTTTAAGTAAAAGTAGAACACAGATCTTAAAACCATAGATTAATGATTTCTTTTATAAACCTTACACCCACCATTTGATAAACTCCAACATCCCAGAAGCCTCCCTCATGACTCTTCCCAATCACTATACCTCTAAGTTAACCATTATTTTTTTAAGATTTTTTTTTTAAATTTACTCATTTGACAGAGAGAGAGAGAGAGAGAGATCACAAGTAGTCAGAGAGGCAGGCAGAGAGAGAGAGAAGGGGAAGAGGCTCCCCACTGAGCAGAGAGCCCAATCCGGGGCTTGATACCAGGACCCTGAGATCATGACCTGAGCCAAAGACAGAGACTTAACCCACTGAGCCACCCAGGCACCCCCCCCAACCATTATTTTGGGCTCTGTCATAATAATTGAACTTTATAGAACTGTAATCATGCAGTATGTACTTTTCTGTCTGGCCTCTTTTGTCCAACATCGTATCCATAACAGCACCCATGCTGTATGCAGCAGTAGCTTGTAACTTAACATAGTATTGTATAGTATTATATTGTCTGAATGTATCATAATTTATTTATCCATTCTCTTGTTGATGGAGTATTTGAGTTTCCAGCTTTGGGATATTACGAGTAAAGTTACTAAGAACATTCTTGTGTCAGTCTTTGGCATGCATGTGAAATCAGTTGTTTGTGTTATGTACCCAAAAATAGAATTGCTAGGTTAGAAAGTAAATGTTGATATTTAACAAATACTGCAAAATAGTGTTTGAAAGTGAATGTTCCATTTTATGCTCCCATGTGCTGTGTATGAGAATTCCAGTTGCCTTATCTGATTAGCATTATTATTGTCAGTCTTTTGAATTTTAGCCATTCTAATGGGTGTATAGTGGTACATTAATATTTAATTTGCATTTCCCTTATGACCAATGATGCTGCAAACACAAATTTCTATAGATAATGTGGATTATCCTGTGGACAATATTATCCAAAGAGCTGGGAATGAACAAAACTGAAATAAGTGAGGTTTCACAGTACAAGTAAGTGCATAGCTTACCATACGACCCAGCCAACTGTGATCTTGGCCATTTTTCCCAGAGAAATGAAAACATAGGTTTACACAAACACCTATACGTGAATGTTCATAGTTGGTTTGTAATAACCCAAAACTGAAAATAACCCAAATGTCTTTTAACAGGTAAATGGTTACACAAACTGGGGTTTATCTTTACCATGGAAAAACACTGGCAATAAAAGGGAACGAACCACTGAAACAATTTGGGTGATCTCAAGGGAATTATGCTGAAAACCAATCTCATAAAAGTTATAATTTGTGAATTATATAAATGTTGTATAAATGAATCCATTTATATAACATTCTTAAAATGCAAAACTATAGAGATGGAGAGCAGGTTAGAGGATGCTAGGAACTGGGTGGAGAGGAGGTGGCTGTGACTATAAAAGGATAGCAAAAGAGATCCTTGGGATAGAACTGTTCTGAATCATGGTGGTAGTGGTTTTCACACGACTCTGCACAAATAAAAAAATGCATAGAACTAAATATATACATAGTTACACAAATGAGTGCATTTGAAACTGGCAAAAGATACAAGTTTTGTGTACTGTTTCAACATCAATATCTTGGTCATGATATTGTATTACAATTTTACAAGAAATAACCATTGAGGGAAGCCTGAGGAAGGTTATGTGGGATCTCTGTATTATTTCTTACAACTGCATGTAAATCTACAGTGATATAAAAAATTAAAATATAAGCACACAGCTGGGACAAGTTTCCTGGTTTGCCATTCGGACAAAAATAGAATTATATCTTTACATTATCATATCATAAGAATAAACTCCAAATAGATTAGGAATGTAAACATAAGAAATGAAATCATATAGGTCTTAGAAGCAAGCATTGGTGAATCCCTCTTTAACCTCAATATAAGAAAGAACTTTTTTTCTTTTTTAAAGATTTTATTTATTTATTTGACAGACAGAGATCAAAAGTAGGCAGAGAGGTTGGGGAGGGGCGGGGAAGCAGGCTCCCTGCTAAGCAGAGAGCCCGCCTTGACCTATCCCAGGACCCTGGGATCATGACCTGAGCCGAAGGTAGAGGCTTTAACCCATTGAGCTACCCGGGCACCCCAAGAAAGAACTTTCTTACTGTGATTCAGAAAACGGATGCAATAAGAGAAAAGATCCAAAGATCATGACTACAAAAATCAAAAGACAACTTACAAATTGGGAAAAAATATTTGCAGGATGTATCACAAATAAAGGGCTAATATCCCTAGATTAGTTTGCTAGGGCTATCATAACAAAATACCACCAACTGGATGGTTTAAACAACAAAAATTAATTTTCTCACAGTTCTGGAAGCTGAAGTCCACGATGAAGGTGTTGGCAAGTTTACTTTCTCCTGAGGTCTCTTCTGCTTGGGGATAATGGTGATGTATCTTTGAGTATTCAGGCTAAAGAAAGCTGCTCAAACATCTTTAAGTTCTAGCTCTTCACATCATCTGGCTTTTAACTGCAGTGGCTTCCCTCTTCCTGGAGCCTGTTTACTCATTGGTTTCTCTACCATTCAGGGCTGTCTCCTTCCCTCTACTAAGGAAATCACATCTGGCTTAGAGATATAAACTACTTTACATAAGAAATGAAATGCGACTTGGGTCTGCTGAGGTGCTGCCAATCAGAGAAGAAAATAGGAGGTCCAGAGGAAGATCAAATCACCTTAGATATCAAGAAAATGAAGCCTCAGTAAATACAAAATGCAGTTGTTTGTTTCCAATTATACAGATGCCAAGTCAGTTCTTCAAAAGCTCTCCAGAGATTCATACTGAAGGAGGATATAATGAGCAAAAATATTTTAATCCACAAAATCAGGCTCCAACATCTCATCCTTGTAGTTATATCCTTCTGAACAGGGCTCAGGGATTCATTCTTCACCTTGGTGAACTTGATGGACATCTTTGGAAGTGATAGTACTGCAAATGACAAAAACATTCCAACTCCACAAACCCTAGCCCCATATGACCCTGGAAGAATGGAGAAGGTGGGCCAGATGTAGGAACTAGGCAGGATGTAGAAGGAATTTCTCTGGTATGGTTAAGCTTTCTGAGTCCAGCAAGAATATACAAATTTAATAAATTCCAGAACTTCCTCACAATAAGGTATTAAGTGGTCACTAAAAATTAAATTGAGGAATAACCAAAAAATAGAGAAAAATTCAAAAATATACTGACAGTGGCTTAAGCAGGTTACTATACAACATGTATAACAATTCCATTTACCAAAAGGTCATATATATCATATGGATAGAATGTCAGACATCAGCAATAGAAAGAAAAATATCTGGATTTATACCTCTAAAAGCTAACATTATTGGTTTCTAGTCTATGACACTGATTTTTTTGTTTAAGTATACTTCCATAACTTCCATAAATTTAAGTATACTTCCTATTTTCTTTATAGGAACCAAGAATGTCTTGATTTTAGATTGTCTTAAGAAATTTTATTAAAAGAAAGTTCTTCAAAAATAGGCAAAAAAAAGCCCTGTTGTGGGTCTTTAGGTTAGATTTATAGCTCAACATATTCTAAATATAGTTGGCTATGAATGATTTCTCTTATGTCCTTCTAATAGTTTATTTCAAAGCTTACATAGGGGTTTTCTGCCTAGAGAAGAGCTAAGAGGCTCAAACCCTGGTCTAGTTGTTTTATGTCTTTTGATGGAAGAATTTATTTCACTTCTGAAATATTACCCAAAATGCCCTGCCTGCAACTAGTGAGAGAATCATCTTGCTCCATTAGTTTCCCTTTGGACCCAGCAACAAGAGAAATAAAACTCTAGGGCATAAACTTGACTAGGGAAAGTTCACATTCCAGAGTTCCTATGAATTCACAATAATTTGGACATGCTGCTATAGTTAGAATTCTTTATTGTGAACTCCTGTGGTTTTATCATTGTACTTCTCCAGAGGTCTTTGTCATGTCTACCTTTGACCTACTTTTATTTCCCCTGCTGGATTATGAACAACATAAAGGTAGCAATTATATCTTATTCATCTGTGTTTCATCCAAGTACATAGGCACAACTTCTTGTATACTGTAGGCATGTCTAATGTCTTATATAGAAATCCTACGTCTAGGATACTTAGGAAGAATTAAAAATAAATAAGTATTACAAGGATGTTCACTGAAGAGTTCCTGATGATAGGGGCACCTGGGTGCCTCAACTGGTTAAGTGTCCGCCTTTGGCTCAGGTCATTAGCCCAGTGTCCTAGGATCAAGCCCTGAGTTGGGCTCTCTATTCAGCGGGGAGTCTGCTTTTCAATCTCTCTCTCTCCTCCCTTGCACTCCCCCCTGCATTGTGTGTGCATACTCTCTCTCAATTAAATAATTTTAAAAAGAATTCTTGTTAATAATTAGTTAAAAAAAGTTTCAGAATAAACAATGTGTTAAATAAGATATGATAGACCACACAATAATCATCATGATATTGGCCTCAATTTGTCAAAGAGATATACTCATTAGGAATGGCTTAGTGAAATACAGCAGAAGGTTGGAAAATAGTAGAATCCAGTAGTTAAATAAAGATTGAGGACTTTGGAACTCAACTTCTAGTTTCATCTGTCAGGAACAATAATAATATTGTTGACATTTCACAACTTATTCAGCCTTGATGCCTCACTTGCCTAAGCAGCGTACTGAGAATGGTAATACTTCCCTCACAGGGTTCTCATGAGAATTAAATTAGACAATACATGTCCTTATAATAGTGTATTAGAGTTCTCCAGAGAAACAGAAACAACAGGATATATGTGTGTGTCTCTGTGTGTCTATGTATTGAATTAAGAAAGAGATTTTAAGGAAATGGCTTAGCTCATGAGATTGTGGAAGCCTGTTAAGTCCAAAACCTGTAGCTCAGGTCAGCAGGTTAAATACTCAGGGAACAGTTGAGATTTGAGTTCAAAAGCTGTCTGCTGGCAGAATTCCTTTCTGCTCTGGGAGAGGGAAGTCTTTTGTCTATCAAGGCCTTCAACTGATTGGATGAGGCCTACCCACATTCTGGAGGGTAATCTGCTTTAATTTAAATTAAATGTTAATCTCATCTAATAAACACCTTCACAGAAACATCTAGAATGATATTTGACCAAATATTTGGGCATCGTGGCCCAGCCAAGTTACATAAAATTAGGCTTCTTAATTCCACCCCTTGCCAACTTGGCACCTATATGCATCTCCCTAAACGATACTTAATATCTGAAAAAAACAAAAAACAAAAACCAGTAACAAGGACATACTTCCACCTAACATAATACAACTATCTTGCATACAACCAAAAAATACACAAATCCTTTCCCAGAAGAGGGTGCAAAGTCTTGCATAATGTTTACTTTTCTCCCTTATATCCCACAACTTAAGTATTATGATGTAAAGTTAGTAATACTTATATACTATAAGGTCAGTACATCTTATATTACATGATAATGGTATAAAAAAGGAATAAAGATTTATATACATATATACACACAACAAAATAAACACTCATGACAATTATAGTCCAATTTCTGAAACTGGTCCCATGGTTTTAATAGGCATTTATAACCACCTTCTTCCATCACCCATTCCATATTCCCTTTGCCCTTAGCAAGCTCCTCAGTTGGTCATGGTTCTTTACTTGGTGGGGTGACCCAAAATTCATTCTTGGGTGTGTGGCCCATGAATAAGCCTGCCTTTATAGTTTGTAGTTTGCCATTCACCTTAATCATAGGGCAGGGTAACATTAAGAGAAGCCCCAAAGGATCTCCTATACTCTAGACATACTCCTCCTTATCACCATTGTGGAGTAGCAGTCCAGCCTCCCCTAGGTAGTTAAGATGAATCACCACAGCCAGCACCCTTAATCCCTTCTTTGCCTTTTGATTCAGAGGGATGAGAAACCCAAAGTGGTTGGGTAGCAGTCTTAATTTACAGTTAAATGGAATCATTTTTTCTCCTTAATTTACAGTTAAATGGAATCATTTTTTCTCCTGGTAGAAGCATTCCTCCCTTTGGAACTAAGACCTCTGTGTAGCAGAGCATAGGTTGTGGGGAGGGGAAGCAAAAATTTTGCTATTGGGTCACCAGGGGTAATAGTGAGTGGTGTCATTCCCATTTCTACCCCATGATTCCTGGCCTTATGAATCCTGACTATGGGAAAAACAGCACCAGATACTGGATGCTGATAACAGAGCATAAAGAGCCTTCTGTAGAACCATCCCCCAGCCCTGCAAGACCCTGCCACCTAGCTGGCATTGTGACTGAGTCTTTAAAACATCATTCCATTCTGTCAACCAGCTTCTTCAGAATGGTGGGGAACTTGGGAAGACTAGTGAATTCCATGAAGATGGGCCCACTGATGTACTTCAATTACTGTGATATGAGTTCCTTGATCAGAAGCAATGCTGTTTAGAATACCATGATACCACTATCAGAAGGCATTCTATAAGTCCACTGATGGTAGTTTTGACAGAAGCATTATGTACGGTATAGGCAAATCTGTATCCAGAGTGTCTGTTCTATTTAGAAAGAAAAAAATATTGCCCCTTCCATGATGGAAGCAGTCCAATGTTATCAACCTGCCACCAGAGAATGGTGCCATATCGGGGACTCAGTGTTGGTCTCTGTTGCTGGCGGATTGGGCTTTCCAGCAGTGGCTATAACCAGATTGGCCTTAATGAGTGGACACTCATGTTGCTGAACCCATGGGTAATGGCCATCACTGCCACCATGGCTACTTTGTTCAAGAACCCACTGGTGATGATAGGGTGGCTGAGGAAAGAACCGAATGGTGTCCACAGACTGGGTCATCCTATCCACTTTATTAAAATCCTCTTCTGCTGAGCATTTAACATGGGACACAAAGAGCTTCACTTTTACCCATGCAGAGAGGTCTATACCTCTTTTCCAGACTTCCTTCACATGAATTTTCCAATCATGTTCCTTCCAAGCTCCTGATCACCCAGCCAAACCACTGGCCACAGTCTGTGAATCACACACCTGACCATTTCTTTTTCCAAGCAGGAAAACAAAACAATAAAAACCCAGGTGCACCGCTTAAAACTCTGACCAGTAGGATTACTTGTGCCTTCAGAGCATACTTGGCCCAATCATTTAAACATCCCTTCCATTTTATGAGAGTGCTGCTCTGCACACACAGCTTAATAGCTGGGTCAGATTACACCCAGTTTATGATGGTAACTTGGTGGCCCATGGTTTAGTGTTTGTCTCTAAGTCTCAGTAGCAGGCTAAAACCTGTTTCTCAAAAGGAGAGTAGTTAACTGCAGAGAATGGCATGGCTTTGGTTCAAAATCCTAAGGGCCTGCACTGTGACCCATCTGTAGGGTCCTGCCAAAGGACCCAGACAACATCATTACCAGCGTCTGATATTTCAAACACCCTTGGATTTTAAAAAATATATATTTATTTGTTTGACAGAGAGAGAGATCACAAGCAGGCAGAGAGGCAGGCAGAGAGAGGGGAGGAAGCAGGCTCCCTGCTGAGCAGACAGCATGATGCAGGGCTCAATCCCAGGACCCTGGGTTCATGACTTGAGCCAAAAGCAGAGGCTTAACCCACTGAGCCACCCAGGCGCCCCAACACTATTGGATTTACTGGGCCTTATTGCCCAAGAGGCAAAGTGCTTGCCTAGCAGTCTGGACCTGTTGCAGAGTCACAGAGCCTTCTTTTGTTCTGGGCCCTACTCAAAACTAGCAGCTTTTCACATCACTTGGTAAATGGGAAGTAACATACCCCAGTGAGAAAGAGGTTGCCTCCAAAATCCAGAGGTCCACTAGGCTTTGTGCCTCTTTTTTAGTTGTAGGAGGAGCCAGATGCAACAACTTAGAAGGGATATCATGACATGCCCCACACCACTGGATCTCTAGAAGTTTCACTGAGGTAATAGAAGGCCTCTTAAGTTTTTGTTAGATTTATTTCCCAACCCTGACATCCAGATGTCTCATCAGTTGTCATTTCTTGCTTGCAAGGTCCAATGGCATAATGTCATCAATGTAATTGACCAATATGACATCTTGTGGAAGGGAAAGAGAATTAAGATCCCTGTGAACTAAATTATTATACATGGAAACTAAATTATAGGGCTGGGGAGCTGATGTACCCCTGAGGTAGGATACTGAAGTTATTTACTTGTTTTTGCCAAGTGAAAACAATTGGTTCTGGTTGTCTTTATTAACAGGGATGGAGGGGGAAAATTAACAGATCAGTACTCCCATGGCAGGTACCAAGGAAATGTGTTAATTTGTTAAGGTAATGAAAACACATCTGGTAAAACAGCTGCAGCTGGAGTCACCACCAGCTTAACCCATTGTCATTCTCCAAAATTTCTCTTGTCTGCAGAGGCCAAATAGGCAAGTTGAATGGGGATATGCTGGGAATTCATCACCCCTGCATTTTTATGTTCTTAGTAGTGGCACTAATCTCTGCAGTCCCTCCAGGAATGCAGTATTTCTTTTGGTCTATTATTTATTTTTAGGTAGAGGTACTTTTTTTTTTTTTAAAGATTTTATTTATTTATTTGAGAGAGAGGCAGTGAGAGAGAGCATGAGAGAGGAGAAGGTCAGAGGGAGAAGCGGACTCCCCATGGAGCTGGGAGCCCGATGCGGGACTCGATCCCGGGACTCCGGGATCATGACCTGAGCCGAAAGCAGTCATCCAACCAACTGAGCCACCCAGGCGTCCCTAGGTAGAGGTAGTTTTGGTAGTTTCCACTTGTCCTTTCCTCACTCAGCAGCCAGAGAGACAGTGCTGAGTATGTCTGTTTCAATTATCCATTCCAGAACTGGGGGAAAACCACAGGATGGATTCAGGCACGTGCTGGGTCTGCTGTGAGATGGACCTTAACATTGATCACAGATCTCCTTAAGCCTCTACCCTGACTGGTAGACCAGTGAGGTTTTGGGTCTCCTGGAATTAGTGTTAGCTCAAAGCCAGTGTCCACGGTCTGATTTTTTCCTTTCCCTCAAAGTATGGTCTCCCTAGTAAAGGCTGTGGGTTCCTTTAGGAAGACAGGGGGGAAAATTACCGCATAAATTTTCGGCAATGTAGCAGGGTTTTTCATACAAGGTGTTCTGAGTCTGTATACTGGGTCAAGTCTGAGAATTGACTGACAGTCCATGACTTTTTATTATTCAAGTTAGACTTTTGTTCACTTGACTAGAACTCTTTCACTTACACAGATCAACTAAGATTTAGACTTCTCATCTGTTTCATTTCCACCAAAGTCTACTAACCATACTCTCTGTAACAGAGATTTAAAAAAAAATCTTTCATGTCATTTTGCATTCATCGCAATAAGTTATTTCATATTTTTAAAATCCACATTTTAAGTTATACTTAAATTTTAAAAAATTTCCACTGGAGGGGCACCTGGCTGGCTTAGTGGGTTAAGCCTCTGCCTTCGGCTCAGGTCACGATCTCAGGGTCCTGGGATCAAGCCCCGCATCAGGCTTTCTGCTCAGCAGGGAGCCTGCTTCCCCCTCTCTCTCTGCCTACTTGTGATCTCTCTATCAAATAAATAAATGAAATCTTTAAAAAAATTTCCATTGGAAACTTAATTTTTAAGTAAAACCTATGCTTCAGGAAGCTTAACTATCATCCTCTTTTTAGAGGTAAGTGAAGAGGTTGAGAGGACTCAATCTCACACTCATAATATTGCAGTCTCTCATATAATTACTACACCCAGATCACAACCACACACATTATCTTCCATCCAGATTTTAACTTGCATAAGTTACACTCAAACACACACAAACAAATTTACCAGATCTCTTACATGATCTCCCAATCATACTCTGTTAAAACTCATACATCAACCTCAAAGTCACAACGTTTAATCACCTGCCCTTGCACGGTCATACAATTCATACAGAGACTTGGGTACAGCCACAAACCACTTTCCCATACTTTGGATATCTCACTCAACACCTTGGACAATATCAAGTGCAAACCAACTCATACATGTGATCAAGAATCAGATCCAGAAACACAACCACTTGTTCTCCCAGATAAATTTCTTCACATGGCACTTTGAGATAGGAGATTTGCCTCTTCTGGCAGATAATCTGCATTAGTTTCCACCCTTCTCTGTTCTGGTTTCTCATACACACTTAGACCCCACAATGTTGCTTCACTCCTCTTCCACGCACACACGTAAGATTCAGGATCAGCTCCGCCTAGCCCAGGGATCGGTTTCGTCCATTAGGGAGACCAGCCTCCTCCCTTCTCAAGACCGGCACCTACCACAGCCAACCCTTCCTGCTAGTCATAGGTAGACCCAACGCAAACAGCCTCCCACAGAGCGTTACAAACTCACTGCCCGCACGGTCGCGCCACTCAAGCATGCGTAATCAATCACGGGTCTCAAACGCCCCCCGCGCCTAAGCCACGTTATAATACACCACTTCACAATCACTGCGCGCGGCCCCATGGGGGTATACAGCACGACCACTATTTCAAACGGTCTCAAAAACGTTCACAAACTAATTTCCTCACTCAGGGCACAGTCGGTGTAACACACACATCCTCTCCCTGCCTATCAAACTGTCCTCGGCCACTCGCATCCTCGGACTCAGAAAACACAGCCCGCATAGCCACCTTACAGACGAAGGCTGGATCCCTCCGCATCGGATAACAATTCTCAAACTACAGCACGTGCGCGTCCACCTTGAGGGGGTAGGGACAGCTACGGTGCCAGGCTTGAAATCCGCCCTCAGAGAAATCCGAGGTCCCAAAATCAGATCCAAATTTCAGGTCTGAGCCTTGGAAGGGGAGAGGTTGTAGAGTCACTCCGGGCTCGGGAGTGAAACTGCGCAGGTGCATCCCGAAATGCAGCGGAAGATTTACCTCTTTCAGCTCCCGGGTGCTTTCCTTTCGGACTACGTTTCCCAGAGGACACAGCGGTTCAAAGCTGCTTCCGGTAGAAACGTTGGCAGAGTGGTCGGCTGCTGAGGCAGGTGGGAGCTTTTTACCCAACCAGCAGAGCGTGCAAGACTAGGCGTGCGGTCCCCGTGGAATGCGAATCAGAATTTGGACCAGAGCCCTTCCTGAGGATGATGAAGGTAATGACTCTTGGAGCTCCAGGCCTTGGCAAGAGGAGTGTCTGGAGTGTTAGGCCTCTGACGTGCGGAAGCTGCTCTAGGGAGGGTAAATTGGGTGGTTGTAAGCGCGTGAAGGGAATTTTGTCTCCGGACTAATGATTTTGTCTCCGGACTAAGTGTATTTGGCGGTTAGTCTTGAGAGCGACTGGATTCGGGAGCGTGCTTTTGTGACAGTGTACCTGTCTGCGTGACCATTTGTGTGAATGGAGTTTGTATGTGATTGTGACCATGATTGCGGGTGGCTATTTCTGTAAGCCTCAGATACTTGAGTAAATGAAAAAAAGCACAATTAAACAAAGCGTTACACCCAGGTTCACATAATCAGGCAGTTAGGGAGACATTCCAGTATACAACTGTAGATTCATACAACACAAAGCCAAAAAGACATAATCCAACCCACGTTTATCATAATCGCACAGCCTAAGACCCAGACACCTATATAGTAATACAAAAGGACCACTCCCCAATCACAAACCCCCTTATGCCCATTTAACCCTCATCCCCAACAGTTATCTGTAGAGCTCAAACACATCACCAAGTATCATAGAATCACAGTTACTACCATGGTTACAGACAATGTCTACTCCACATCACACACAAGGTCACACAAAGTTTGAGCTTTAAGAAGGGCCTGGTTGGGGGCAGCTGACTGGCTCAGTCAGTAGAGCATGGGATTCTTGATCTTGGGGGTGTGAGTTCAGCTCCACATTGATTTTACAGATTACTTCGGAAAGGCCTGGTGTCCCATAGTTCTTCTCTACCTCACTAATTCTGCCATTCACCTTAGAAACACCTAGAGTAGGAGGAAAGAATAGCACTGTTGCACATCCAGAATCAGTGTCTAAGAAGTCTGTGGGGACTGGGCATAGTAGACATGAACAGGGGAGAAAAATGTCATTCTATATTAGCACTTTGGGAGCTAAGAAGCAGGATCATCTTATGTCTTTTTTTTTTTTTTAAATCCCTCTCATCCAGCAATATTTTCCTTTGCACTGAGAGTTTCTTCTAAAATGGAACTAAGAAGAGGACTGATACATTGAATTCTTAAAAACATGGCCCATGTAAGTTGATTTTTTTTGTTCCTAATTGATGTCCTTTTTTCCCTATAGTCATATGAATATTTGCATTCTTAATACTGATATTGTTGCCTGACTATCATACAGACTTATTAGTAAGTATTGGTTTCAAAATTTTAAAGTCTTCCTTTTTTGCTCCTCTCCTTTCTAACCCAGTGTTCCTGTAAGCAGTCAAGGAAATACATACAGAACTGTAAGATAATAAATTTGTTGTTTTAAGCTACTGTATTTGTTACAGAATCAGTAGAAAGTGAACACACCATCTGAATTTGGAGTTTTCTTCATGGGGAAACTGATTGCTTAAATTGGTACAGGGCTTTTGGGAGTTTTCTTTCTTTCTTTCTTCTTTTTTTTTTTTTGAAGATTTTATTTATTTATTCAAGAGGGAGGGAGAGAGAGAGCAAGTGCACAAGCGGCGGGGAGGGGCAGAAGGGGAAGCAGTCTCCCCACCTAGCCCACAGCCTGAGCCCAACAGGGAGACTGATGCATGGTTCATTCCAAGGACCCCAGGACCATGACCCGAGCCAAAGGCAGAGGCTCAAACGACTGAGCTACCCAGGCACCCCCGTCTTATTTCTTCTTGAATCAGTTTAGTAATTTGTGTCTCTCAAGAAATTCATTTATTTCTATTTAGTTACCAGATTTGTTAGTATAAAGTTGTTTATGATATTCCCTTATTATCCTTTTAATGCCTGTCAGGTCTATAGTAATACTCCCCCTCTTAATTCCTGATCTTAATAATTTATGTCTTTTTTCTTAATGAGTATACTAGCAATTTATCAATTTTATTGATCTTTTCAAAGCTTTTAGTTTTATTGATTTTTCTCTCCAGTTTGCCCTTGCCTTGATTGCTATTTCATTGATTACTGATCTTATTCTTTCCTTTTTTTCTGTGTACTTTGGGTTTAATTTTCTTTTCTTTTCTTTTTTTTGAGCTCAAGATTCCCTTTTTTCTTTTACCCATGGGCTACTTAGAAGAGCGTACTTTAACTTACAGATTTTGAGGGACTTTTTCATATCTTTTTGAGAATTTGTTTTTAATTTATTCAATTCTTTTGTGGTCAGAGAACATACTTTGTAATATCAGTCCTTCTAAATTTATTGAGACTTATTTTATGGCCCAAAATGTGGACTATCTTGGCGAATGCTCAATGTGCATTTGGAAAAAAAAAAGGCTGTGTTATACTATTGACGGATAGAGTGTTTATCAGTTAGGTCAAGTGTTTTGTAGTAGTACTCAACTCTTCTATATCTTTTCTGATTTTTTTGGTCATTTGGTCTATCAATTACTTGAGAGAGGACTGTTGAAACTTACAAATACAGCTGTTGATTTGTCTGTTACAATTCTGTCCGTTTTGCTTTATGTTTAGAAATTCTGTTAGTAGGTGCATGCATACTTAGGATTGCTATGTCCTTCTTTTAAAAGTTTACTTATTTTTTTTTTTACTTTTTAGCTATTGTATTTTAAATTTTAAGATACTTTGTATTGTGCTACCCATGCAAAAAATATAATTATTTAACAATGGACCATGTGACTAAATTTGCTTGAAACAGAAATATCAATTTCAATGGACTATTTCCCAGTTACATCACAATCTTGTATCTATAATTTCAGAACTCAATTTACATGCAAATACATTATATTTAGAGATTGGTCTCTTCCAAACTATTGCCTCTGGTAGATATTGTCTTCTTTCTATATATATATATATATATATATGTAACTTAAAATAATCTCTCTTTTACATGAACATTCTCTTGTGAATATTAAAAACTATTCTTAGCAGTGAATAGCACAAAAGTTACATGATTTCAAAACTAAAATAGTCAACCAGCTGTAAATGATTAATGTATCTTAACAAATAAGATGAAAGACAATGTTTTGCTGACAGAAGAAACTTTATATTAGGCATAGAGAGAGAAGAGGAAGTTTGAACTGGTATTGCTACACCAAAGGAAAGGATAAGCGGGAGGTAGAAATGCAGAGAGAAAATAGCCTGTTAAGTTTTGGTGATTTAAAAGAAATATTGTGACAGCATTTTATTTTATTTTTTTTAAAGAGAAAAACAGATATAGGTGTTTAATAAGGAAAAAATAGACTAGAAAATACGAAAGCAGGTTAGAATAGCAGAGTTTAAGTCAATTTTGTTTTTAAAATGCCTTGTAAAACTGAAGAGTTTAACAGTTTTCTTTGAAAGTGGCAGTATAGGTGATTTAAAATTTTTTGTTCTTTCAAAGATTTCTTTTTTTTTTATTTTCAGCATAACAGTATTCATTGTTTTTGTACCATACCCAGTGCTCCATGCAGTCCGTGCCCTCTCTAATACCCACCACCTGGTTCCCCCAACCTCCCACCCCTCACCTCTTCAAAACCTTCAGATTGTTTTTCAGAGTCCATAGTCTCTCATTGTTCACCTCCCCTTCCAATTTCCCCCAAATGCCTTCTTCTAACTCCCCATGTCCTCCATACTATTTGTTACGCTCCACAAATAAGTGAAACCATATGATAATTGACTCTCTCTGCTTGACTTATTTCACTCAGCATCATCTCTTCCAGTCCCGTCCATGTTGCTACAAAAGTTGGGTATTCATCCTTTCTGATGGAGGCATAATACTCCATAGTGTATATGGACCACATCTTCCTTATCCATTCGTCCGTTGAAGGGCATCTTGGTTCTTTCCACAGTTTGGCGCCTGTGGCCATTGCTGCTATAAACATTGGGGTACAGATGGCCCTTCTTTTCACTACATCTGTATCCTTGGGGTAAATACCCAGTAATGCAATTGCAGGGTCATAGGGAAGCTCTATTTTTAATTTCTTGAGGAATCTCCACACTCTTCTCCAAAGAGGCTGCACCAACTTGCATTCCCACCAACAGTGTAAGAGGGTTCCCCATTCTCCACATCCCCTCCAACACAGCAAAGGAAACAGTCAAGAAAACAAAGAGGCAACCCATGGAATGGGAGAAGATATGTGCAAATGACAGTACAGACAAAAGATTGATATCCAGGATCTATAAAGAACTCCTCAAACTCAACACACACAAAACAGACAATCATATCAAAAAATGGGCAGAAGATATGAACAGACACTTCTCCAATGAAGACATACAAATGGCTATCAGACACATGAAAAAATGTTCATCATCACAAGCCATCAGGGAGATTCAAATTAAAACCACATTGAGATATCACCTTACACCAGTTAGAATGGCCAAAATTAGCAAGACAGGAAACAACATGTGACAGCATTTTAAATTCAGATGGGTAAGGACCAATGTGAGCCACAGGCTAGGCTGTTGTTCGGGATTTGTCTGTAGGGAAAAGCACAGCTTCCAGACCTTGAACCGGTCACAGGCTCCGTCAGCTCGGAGCGCGGCCGGAGGCCAGGGTGACGGGAGCAATTGGGCACTGCTCTCTGAGGGCGCACTGAGGAGTGGGGCCCCAGGCTCTCGGCTCCTCCGGGCCAGAGACTGGGAGGCCACCATCTTCATTCCCGTCCTCCAGAACTCTACCAAAGTTTACTTATTTTTAAGTGATCTCTATACCCAATGTGGGGCTCAAGCTCACAACCCTGAGATCAAGAGTTGCATGCCCTTCCGACTGAGCCATCCAGGTGCCCCCAAATTCCTATATCCTCTTGATGAATTGACACCTTTATTATGAAATGTTCCTTGTGGTAATATTTTTTCTTGCATTATGTTTATTAATATAACTGCTTCAGCTTTCTTTTATTGTTATTTCATGGCATATCTTTTTTTTTAAAGATTTTTAAAAATTTATGAAGGCAGACACTTAACGGAGCCACCCAGGTGCCCTGCCTGGCATATCTTTTTCCATCCTTTTAACTTTCTTTAGCCTTTTTTTTTTTCTTTTTAAGGTTTTATTTATTTATTTACTTCTTTTGAGATTTTGTCAGAGAGTGAGAGAGAGCACAAACAGAGGGAGCAGCAGGCAAAGGGATAAGCAGGCTCCCCAATGAGCAAGGAGCCCAATGAGGAACTTGATCCCAGGACCCTGGGATCATGACCTGAGCCAAAGGCGGATGCTTAACCGACTGAACCACCCAAGTGTCCCTATTTTAACTTATTTTAGGTGTATCTCATATAACAGCATACAGTTTGGTCTTGCTTTTTTTTTTTTTTTAATTTTATTTATGTATTTGACAGACAGAGGTCCCATAGTAGGCAGAGAAGAAGGCAGAGAGAGAGAGAGAGAGACGGGAAGCAGAGAGCCTGATGCGGGGCTTGATCCCAGGACCCTGAGATCATGCCCTGAGCTGAAGGTAGAGGCTTAACCCATTGAGCCACCCAGGTGTCCCTGGTCTTGCTTTTTAATCCAGTCTGATGATCTCTGCCTTTGAGAATCTAGACCAGAGGTTAGCAATCTGTGGCATGCTGACCATCCAGCCCACAGCTGCATATGGTAATTTAATATTGATAAAAGTAATATCTCAAAACTGCAGGCTAAAGATAGACTTTTTTATTGAGATATAATTGGCATGTAACATTATATTAATTTTGGATGCACAGCATAGTGGTTTAGTATATGGATATCTTACAAAATGATCACCGCAGTATAGGTAATATCTATTACCACACATAGTTAGAAGTTTTCTTTCTTGTGATGAATACTTTTCAGATCTAGTCTTTTAGCAACTTTCAAATATACAATACAGTATTTTTTTTAAAGATTTTATTTATTTATTTGACAGAGAGAGATCACAAGGAGGCAGAGAGGCAGGCAGAGAGAGAGGAAGGGAAGCAGGCTTCCTACTGAGCAGAGAGCCCAATGCGGGACTCGATCCCAGGACCCTGGGATCATGACTTGAGCCGAAGGCAGTGGCTTAACCCACTGAGCCACCCAGGCGCCCCTACAATACAGTATTAATAGCTGTAGTCACCATGTTGTACATAATATCCCTAGGGATTATTAATTTTATAACTCGAAGTTTATATCTTTTGACCAGCTTCATCCATTTCACCACACTCCCCCCATCTGACAACCACCAGTCTGTTCTTTGTATCTATGAGTTTGATTTTTGTTTTCTGTTTTTAGATTTCACAAATAAGTCTTTTTCTGTCTGACTTATTTCACCTATTGTAATGCCATCAGGGTCCATCCAAGTTGTTGGAAATGTAAGATTTCCTTTTTTGTTTTTCCTTCAAGATTTTATTTTTTAATTTATTTGAGAGAGAGTGTGAACAAGAGGAGGAGCAGAGGGAGAGGGAAAGGGACAAGCAGACTCTCCCCTGTGAGGAGCCCAACATAGGGCTTGATCCCAGGATCCTGAGATAATAACCTGAGCTGAGATCAAGAATCAGACTCGTGGGGCTCCTTCGTGGCTCAGTCGTTAAGCATCTGCCTTTGGCTCAGGTCATGATCCCAGGGTCCTGGGATCAAGCCCCGCATTGGGCTCCCTGCTCAGTGGGGAGCCTGCTTCTCCTCTCCCTCTGCCTGCTGCTCCCCTACTTGTGCTCACTCTGTGTCTGTCAAATAAATAAATAAAATCTTTTAAAAACTAAAAAAAACAGTTGGACATTTAACTGACTGAGCCACCCAGATGCCCCTCCTTTTTTTCTTAATGGTTGAATAATATTCTTGTGTATGTGTATCATATTTTCTGTATCCATTCATCCACTGGAAGACACTTTACCTGTGGGCCATTTTTATGTCCTCTTTGAAGAAAGGTCTACTCAGGTCCTCTGCCCATTTTAAATTCAGATTGTTTAGGGTTTTTTGCTGTTGAGTTGTATGAGTTCTTTATATTTTGGTTACTAAACCCTTATCAGATACATCATTTACAAAAATTTTCTCCATGTAAGTTGCCTTTTCATTTTGTTAATGGTTTCACAGAAGATTTTTGGTTTGATGTAGTCCCATTTGTTTATTTTTGCTTTTGTTGCCTTTGCTTTTTTGGTATCATATCCAAAAAGTCATTGCCAAGTACCTTTACTGCCTATGATTTCCTCTAGAGGTTTTATAATTTCAGGTTTTACATTCAAGTCTTTAATCCATTTTGAGTTGATTTTTATGTATGGTATAAGATAGTGGTATAGTTTAATTCTTTGTCATGTGGCTGTCCAGTTTCCCTAGCATCATTTATTGAAGAGACTGTTCTTTCCCCATTGTATATTCTTGGCTCCTTTGTCATAAATTAATTAGCATATATGTATGGGCTCCCTATTCTGTTTCACTGATCTCTGTCTCTGTTTTTATGCCAATACCATACTGTTTCAATTATATAGCTTTGTAATGTGGTTTGAAATGAAGATATGTGATGTCTCAGCTTTGTTCCTTTTTCTCAAGATTGCTTTGGCTACTTGAGGTCTTTGATGGTTTCATACAAATTTTAGTGTTATTTGTTGTATTTCTGTAAAAAATTCCATTGGGATTTGAAGGATTATATTGACTGTAGATTGCTTTGAGTTATACGGATGTTTTACCACTGATGATTCTTCCATTCCTTAAGCATGGAAAATCTTTTCATTTATTTGTGTCTTTTTCAGTTTTTTCCATCAGTATCTTATAGTTCTCTGTATAACAATTATTTTGTCTCCTTGGTTAAAGATAGTCTATTGACAAATAGTATTGGATAACTAGAGCCATTTTCAAAAAACAAAGCCCATTCTTTATCTCATCTACCATATAAAATAAACTCTAGTTAAACTGAATGATTTAATTTTTAAAAATATGATCATAATATTACTAGACTAAAACATGGGAGTACTCCTTCATGACTTTGATGTGAGGAAGGACTTTCTAACTAGGACTCAGACTCTAGGAACTAAAAGAGAAAGTAGTAACAAAGTTGATTACATAAAAATAAAAAACTTCTGCATGGCAAGAAACATTGGTAAGCAAAATCAGAAGAGAAATGACAAATGGGAAAGGTATTTACAATTCACATACAGACACTGAACTTATCATCTAACTTATAAAGACTAAGAAATTTTAAAAAGAGACCAATGGCCCTGTAGAAAAAGAGTCAAAAGGGCATGAATAGAGATTTCACAGAAAAAGAAACATAAAAGACCCTAAAAAAAAGAAAAATACTCAACTCATAACCCAAGAAATACCAATTAAAATTCTATTGACATATAATTTCTTTATCACATTAAATTGATAAAAACAAAATGTTTCGACAAAATGCTTTGCTGCTTTGACTGTGAGGAAATGGGTACTCCCATATATTGCTGGCGTCTGACAAAGGGGTCCAGCTGCTGTAGAGGACAACTTGACAGGATCTACCAAAATTACAAATGCATTTTCCATTTAGACCTAGCAATCTGATTTCTGAGGCTTTCTGGTACAGATATGCCTGTATGTATACAAAGTGCCATATTTATAGGAATATTCATTATACTATTATTTGTTAGAGCAGAAGATTGGAAACAACCAAGTGTTCATCTAGAGATGTCTGATTAAATAAACTATGATAAAAAATGGAGGATATGTACCTATAGAAAAATAAGGAAACCATTAACTTTAGAATTGAAAAATCAAGCATAGAACAGTGTATATATTATAGTATGTTCCCTTCTGTGTAAAAGTGTGGAAAGATATATATATATTATATTGTATATAATATATATATAAATAATATGTATATGTAGAATATATATATATAGTTGCTTAAAAACATTGCAAAGACACACAAAGAAACTTATAAAATTGCTCATCTATAAGGGGTTAGGAGGTGGAAGAAAAAAGGAAAGGACAAGAGTGGGTGTAAGACATCTGAATGTCTTTTTTTTTCTGAACCATTTAAGAAAGGAAAATAAAATATAAAAATAAAAACTTGTCATTAAGGTTGGTGGTTTTCTCTACTCATATTCGGCTACATAGATAAAGTGAGAGAATAGGAAGAGAGGATTCAGGCTTTGCTTAGCAAGTATGAAAAGGAAGTCCACATTAGGAGTCATTATCAAGTTGGAGGATTAGCTGAATATAGAATTTAAGTTGGGTAAGAAGAGGAGAAGAGGTATGAGTGTGGTGAGTGACAATGTAAAAGTGACCAGAGAGAAAGACCGTTGATGTTTTGGAGATGTCGAAGTTACTGTTAGTGATGAGGTCTTGGATAGCAATACAAAGAGTGAACTAGAGTGGAAGACAAGATCATTGGAGAGGAGGTGAGGGAATTGGGAGGGCAGGATAATAGATGGAATCCTTATATAGATATTTGAAATTATTGAGAATTAAGATAGGAGTAGTGTTGGAAATGGTGGCACTGAGCCAGGAGCTAAAATTCCTGAGGGGGGAAAATCTAGATGTTAGCATATTACTGAAGTAGGTAGAGATAATGCATGTCTGATGAAATGATGACATTAGATTTTAGAGGAGGGAGAGTTGCTGGCACCAACAATGAGGAGAAGAGAGAACAGAAAGAGATTGAGAACAAAGTAAGATTGTAGGAGAAAAACCAGCCACTCATGTGAGATGTTCTCACAGGAAATGGTGTTGTAAGGGAGGGTTAATTGAATCAGACATGGGAAATCTTTGAACTTTTCCACAATTTTGACTTTTCCAAATAGACATTGTTAAGAATTGGTGTAGGGGGGGACGCCTGGGTGGCTCAGTGGGTTAAGCCGCTGCCTTCGGCTCAGGTCATGATCTCAGGGTCCTGGGATCGAGCCCCACATCAGGCTCTCTGCTCGGCAGGGAGCCTGCTTCCCTTTCTCTCTCTGTCTCTGCCTGCCTCTCTGTCTACTTGTGATCTCTCTCTGTCAAATAAATAAATAAAATCTTAAAAAAAAAAAAAGAATTGGTGTAGGGTGTTCTCACTGGGTGGAGAGATATTTTTATAATCCAGCTTCAGAAGTCACATAGTTGTTTCTGTTATACTTTATAAGTTGAGTAAGTCACAGCTGTTTTCCCAGGATCATGTTCAAGGGCTGAGGACATAGACCTTATACCAATGGTGTGGGGGTATGTCAAAGTTACACGGAAGAAGAGCATATGGGATGGGAGTTGTTATTTTGTCTATCCTTGGAATATACAATCTGCACTGGGTATTTACTAAAGAATTTGCTTGAAAAGTAAAAATGGTTATGACATAATAGTCATACTGATGAAGAAAAATCTTCAAGTCCTTTTTCTCAAGTGGGAGGTTTTCTTAAGACATTCTGGAAAGATTATAAAATTTCCAACTATTTCACTTAGTTGGAAACCTCTACTTATTTTTTTAACTTTCTAGATGACTAAGTTTTCCATTCTATACAAGAGGATGTGTCTGCAGAAATTGAATTTTTAAGAATATACAGGCACTCTGCTTCATTTCCACTAAATTCCTTTTTGACCCAGGTCACAAGCTTCCAACCTTTCCCTGTATACTCACTATATACTATATATATATATGCTGTTCCTTTCCTGCATGCTTTCTTTTAGCACCTCTTCTTCCTTTTGAAAAATAGCTCTTATCATTTCAAAAACAGTATTGTGCTCTGTCATTTTAGGGGTTGGTGATGTTCAAAGATGTAGCTATAGATGTCTCTCAGGAGGAATGGGAATGCCTGAACCCCACGCAGAGGAATTTGTACAAAGATGTGATGTTGGAGAACTATAGCAACTTGGTTTCACTGGGTAAGTTTATCTGCCTCTTATAATTTAGAATCTGTTTCTTTGAATTTCTGCTTCCTTTACTATGAATTTTAGGGCTACCTTTCAAATGACTAGATGAATTTTTTCTTTGTATAGGAATGAGCACCCTTAGATGGGGGTGTATCTTCATTTTTCCCATCCTTCCCCCTTTCTCTGGTCCTTATAATTGATGTTCTTCCTTGATGATTAAAGAACAGAATTGGAATTCTGTGCCATTAAAACTTTTGCTTGATTATTTGATTATTTAATATTAATATTAATAAATTCATTATTAACTAATGGTCAAAGAAGCCACTTCATCTTTTTTTTCATTTACACTGTGCTAAACCTGCGGGTGCACTAGTGTAGGTTAAAACTATATATATAGGGTCTGGGTGTGAAGCTCTTTAACTTTCCCAATTAATGTAGTGATGGACTGGGTCAAGAAATACCACTTACTATTTAGTGCTTAAATGAACACCATTCCATTTCCTACAAAAAATGTGCTCTCTTTTAAACAATTTGCATTTGGTAGTTATATGCTAAGAACTTTTCATTTAACATTGAAAAGTATCTGAAATAAGCATACTCAGGAGGTTGTTTTTTCCAAATAGCAAAGTGGAGACAGAAAGCTTACCTAATTTAAATAGCATTTTATCACCTATTTATTTGTTTTGTTTTTTATCTTGAGTTTACCTGAATATGAGTATTTTTTTCTTTCTTTTTTTTTTCCTTTTGTCTGTAGACTATCAAATACACATTTTGTGCTTTTATTTATTTATTAACCAATTATGAATCATAGTATTTGGGTACTTTGATTTCTCCTTCATCTCCATTTTTTTTTCTTATAATCAGGACTTTCTATATCTAAGCCAGCTGTGATCTCTTCATTAGAGCAAGGGAAGGAACCCTGGATGGTTGTGAGGGAAGTGACAGGAAGACGGTGCCCAGGTGAGTAACCAATGATCTAGAGGCAGGAAGCTATTTCAATTGGTCAGAATATTGGGCTGATAAGGTTATTTTAGACAAATTGGGGAAAACCTGATTTCAAAACTTATTACAACACTATGTATTCAAACAGTGCAGTAGTGGCATAAAGACAGACGTACAGATCAGTGCAATATAATAGGGACACGTAAGTGACTTAGTCACTTAAGTGTCTAACTCTCTTGATAATTCAGCTGTTGATATTCTAACTCTCTTGATATTCAAGATCTCTGCGTTGTGAGATTGAACCCCACAGTGGGCTCTGTACTCAGCATGGCATCTTGAGATTTTTTCTCTCTCTCCCTCTGCCCCTCCCCGCACTTTTGCATGCTCTCTCTAAATAAATAAATAAATAATTTAAAAAATGGAATGGAATAAAAAGGTTGGAAATAAGCCCCCAGATATATGACCAAATGATTTTATACAAAGGTGCCAAGACCATCCAATGGGGAAAAGGACTGTATCCTTAACTGGATATCCATAGGCAAAAGAATAAAGTTGGATCCTTACCTTATACCATATACAAAAATTAACTCAAAATAGATCAAAGAACTAAATGTAAGACCCCAAACTAGAATAAAACATAGGGGAAAAGTTCCATGACATTGGATTTGGCAGGGATTTCTGGGCTATAACACCAAGCAAGGTATAGGTAACCAAAGCAAAAATAGACAAATGGGATTATACCAAACTTAAAAATGTCTGTTTATCAAAGGACACAATCAATAGTGTTTATTAATTTTTTTAAAAATTCCTATGAGTTGCTTTTTGAGGTGACTTTTTTTAACTATTATAGTAGTGGATCAAGAACACATGTTCTAATGGTATATTAGGAAAAATTAAGATTGATTAGAAATTGGGGAACTTAAAGAAAATTACATAGATGAAGTAGAGATAGCAGAGGGTTGGGTGCCTGGGTGGCTCAGGTTACACGTCTGCCTTTGGCTCAGGTCATGATCCCAGGGTCCTAGGATCAAGTCCCACATTGGGCTCCCTGCTCCCTGTGGAGTCTGCTTATCTCTTTCCCTCTGCCCCTTGCTCATACTCTCTCTCTCTCAAATAAATAAAATCTTTAAAAAAAGATAACAGAAGGTTGATTGGGATGGAAAGAGGTCCTCTAGGAAAGTACAGGGTCCTGGAGGCCAAAAGCAGGGCCATACTACAGATTAGAGGTCTTTGATGATATCTCTGAATCAGTATTAGTGCTTGTCTGTGTCTACAAAAACGCTTGCTGATATTTTCATAGGAATTATTTAAACCTATAGATGAAGTTAGAGAATTAACATCTTTACTCTGTTGTCTTCCAATCCATGAATACAGCATGTTTCTTCAAGTATTTTTTTAAATTTCTTTTATTAGCATTTTATAATTTTTATCATATAGATCTTGTACATATTTTATTAATTTTTTTACCTCAGTATTCCGTTTTTCAGGAGCATTTATAAATGGTATTGCCTTTTTATTTTGGTTGTTGCTTATTGTCCATGTATAGAAGTTAAATTGATTTTATATGTTGATCTTATATTCTGTGACCTTATTCAACTCGGTTATTTCCTTGTAGGTTCATTGTTATAGTCAGTCATATCATTTGCAAATAGATAGTTTTATTTTCTTTTTTTCCAAATGGTGCACTTTATTTTCTTGCCTTATTGGAATAGCTAGAACTGCAAGGCCTGTATTAAATAAGGGTGGTAATAATGGACATCCTTTTTAGCAATTTTAGGGGGAAAACATTCAGGATTTGGTATTTTATCATAAAATATATTAGCTCTAGGTTTTTTGTACATGTTCTTCATGCTCTTTAGGAGTTTGAGGAAGTTCCCTTTTCTTCCTAATGCCCTGAGAGGTTTGTTTTTTTTAAATTCAATTAATTAACATAAAATGTATTATTTGTTTCAGGGGTGCAGGTTTGTGATTCATTAATCTTCACAATGCCCAGTGCTCACTAAAACACATACCCTTCCCAGTGTCCATCACCCAGTTACCCTATCCTTCCACCTTCCTCCCCTCCAGCAACTTTCAGTTTGTTTCCTATGAGTAGCAGTCTCTTATGGTTTATCTCCCTTACACTGAGAGTTGTTTTAATCATAAATGGTTATTAATAGGATCATGGGATTTTTTTCTTCCTTAGTTGTTGATATGATGGATTACATTGATTTTTAAGTATCGAACCAGTCTTTCACACCTGGAATAAATCCCACTTAGTCATAGTCTTTTTATACATCATTGAATTTGATTGGTAAAATTTAATTGTGGATTTGGTAAAATATAATTGTGGATTTTTTTCATCTAAGTTCATGGTGGGTGTTGGTCTGCAGTTATTTTGTGTATGCTGCCTTTGGTTTTGGTATCAGAGTAATCATGGCCTCATAAAGTACTTTGGAAAGTGTTCTCTTCTGTTTTCTGGAAGAAACTGGTTACAAGATTCTGGGAATGTTTGGTAAGATTCTTCAGTGAAGCCATGTGGACTTGGAGATTTCTTTTTTGGGAACTTCTAAATTATAAATTTGATTTATTACTATTTTTTTAAGATTTTATTTATTTGAGAGAGGACAGAGAGAACATGAGCAGGGGGAGAGGCAGAAGGAGAGGGACTGGCAGATTCCCCACTGAGTGTGGAGTCAGATGCAGGGCTCAATCCCAGGACCCTGAGATCATGACCTGAGCCATTCAGATGCTTAACTAACTGAGCCACCCAGGCACCCCAAATTTGATTTCTGTAATAGTTACCAACTACTCAGATGACCTATTTTATGTTGGCTAAGTTTTGGTAGTTTCAGATTTTCAGGGAATTGGGTCCATTTCTTCTAAGTTTTCAAGGTTATGAATGTAAGGTTATATGTTTTTTTTTTTTAATTTTTAAAAGATTTTATTTATTTATTTGACAGACAGAGATCACAAGTAGGCAGAGAGGCAGGCAGAGAGAGGAAGAGAAACAGGCTCCCCGCTGAGCAGAGAGCCCGATTCGGGGCTCGATCCCAGGAGTCTGGGATCATGACCCGAGCCAAAGGCAGAGGCTTTAACCCACTGAGCCACCCAGGTGCCCCGGTTATATGTTTCTTAATAACCTTATAATTCATTGTGTGTATATATGTATATAATCCATATATGTGTGTCCTCATAGTTCTTATTTTTTTTGTTGTTGAGACTTCTCTTTCACCCATGGATTATTTAGAAGTGTGTTATTCGGAGATGTCTGGAGTTTTTCCTGTTGCCTTTCTTTTATTGATTTATACTTTAATTCCATTATGGTCTCATGTGAAAGAGGGAACAGTCCACAGTCTTCCCTTATGTTTGACCCCAATAGCAATTTCAGAGGTTCCCAAAACCACCCTTAGATAATTCACTAAAGAAGTCAGAATTCACTGAAAGCTGTCATCCTCACAGTTACAGTTTTTTACAGCAAAGGGATACAGATTAAAATCAGCCAAGGGAAGAAACACATGGGTAGAGCCCAGGATATTTCCAGACATGGAGCTTCCAGTTGCACTCACCCAGTGTAGTCATGGACAATGCTAACTTTTCCCATCAACTGTGTGTAACTATACCATGTAGCATCTCCAGATAGGGGAACTAACCTGAATACTGGTGTCCAGAACTTTTTTGGGCTCTGGGTTGGCTGCCCAAATGGTTGGCCTTTCTATTTCCAGCCTCTCACGAGGTGGAGCTAATATCTTTAGATTCCTGCCTCTCTGGAGGAGAATTGGTACCACATGGCTCAAAGCCTACATCATAAATCCCATTGTTAGTCTGTCTGGTAGCTATGGTCCTAAACAAAGACGTTGTAGAGATTTTCTCCCTGGAGATGAAGACAAAAGACAGATCTCTCTTTGGTGAAGTTTAAATTCTTTACTATACATCATAGAATATACTCTGGGTGATTTTGATTCTTTTAAATTTAAGATTTGCTTTACAACTTAGAATAAGGTCTGTCTTGGGGCACCTGGTGGCTCAATCATTAAGTGTCTGCCTTCGGCTCAGGTCATGACCCCAGGGTCCTGGGATCAAGCCCTGCATCCCGCTCCTGGCTCAGTGGGAAGCCTGCTTCTCCTTCTCCCATTCCTCTTGCTTATGTTCCCTCTCTCGCTCTGTCTCTCTCTGTCAAATAAACGTAAAAAAACTTCAAAATGAGACATTAAAAACAAAAAAGAATAAGGTCTGTCTTGGGGAATGTTCATTGTGTGCTTGAAAACATTGTGTATTCTGCTGTTGTTGGGTGACATGTTCCATTCAGTTCTTCTATATCCTTGCTGATTTTCTGTCTGGTAGTTGTATCAGTTGCTGAGAGCAGGGCATTTGAATCACCAGGTATAATAGTGCTTTGTCTCTTTCTCCTTTCAGCTGTATCAGTTTTTGCTTCATGTATTTTGAAACTCTGTCAGTGGTGCTTACTAGTTTTCTTTATTCTGAATCTATTTTATCTGATATTAATATAGCTATTTCTACTTTCTTTTTTAAATTTCTACTTTCTTTTTTTTTTAAAGATTTTTTATTTATTGTTTTGACAGAGAGAGATCACAAGTAGACAGAGAGGCAGGCAGAGAGAGAGAGAGAGAGAGAGAGGGAAGCAGGCTCCCTGCTGAGCAGAGAGCCCGATGCGGGACTCGATCCCAGGACCCTGAGATCATGACCTGAGCTGAAGGCAGCGGCTTAACCCACTGAGCCACCCAGGTGCCCCTCTACTTTCTTTTGATTAATGTGTACATGATACACATTTTTCCACTCCTGCTTCCAACCTACCAATGTCATGTTTGAAGTGAGTTTCTTATAGTCACAATGTTGGTAGTCACACTGTCCATTGTGCCAGTGTCTATCTTTTAATTGTGATTTAGTATTTTAAAGGTATTTATTGGAAAAATTATTGATACGTGAAGGCTTATATCTACTTTTTTTTTGTTATGTTTTCTTTTAAAGATTTTATTTATTTGAGAGAAACAGAAAGAGAGTGCAAGTGAGGGGGAGCG